AATAACACTTAGAAGGGACCTTGGGGTGAACCCTATACCATTTCAGAGACATGGCTGTCTAGTCTTTTGTTAAAAACTTCCAGTGTTGGAGCACCCAGAACTTCTGGTGACAAGCAATTCCACTGGTTAATTGTTCTCACTGTCAGGAAGTTTCTCCTTACTTTTAGGTTGCTTCTCTCCTTGATTACTTTCCATCCTTCTGGTGCTTTGGAAAATACCCCCACTCTTTCTGGCAGCCCCCTAAAAGCCTGTTGCCTGTCACCCTTTTGGGCAAAGCATGTGAGCCATTTCCTCCTTTCAGTAATCTATTAAAGTACATCTATAGTAGATAATAAAGTCAAAAAAAGGTGAACAACATTTTTACAAAACTGTAGATATGTTGAGGCTGGTTGTGACAAGAAATGGCTGGGAAGGGAGGGGCCAGGTGAGGCACCCTTTGACGTGAGTGACATTGAGTTGGCCACACCCACCCAGTCACATGACTATCCCAGTCACATGACCACCCTGTCACATGATCACCAAGTCACACCCACCCAATAATGTGACCCTAAGCCACACCCACCAAATAAGCCATGCCCACAGAACCGATAGTAAAAATTTTTGAATCCCACCATTGCTTAACAAATTTTGGGCTCGACTGTGTTGTAAGTTGAGGACTACCTGTACATTTAGCATTGCCTAAGAAGCTTTAAGCAAATCTTATAAAATGCTCACTCAGGAAGCTTACTTGCATTCTGATCAAATTGGCAGAGACAAATAGAGCTTCTCAACATAAAGACTTGTGGGCCAAATGAAGCACAGGGTAAACCTCTACAGCTCACTTTCTCTGTGAGCAGTGTTTTTCAAAAAAAAAAAAAAGCTTTTGTGGTTGGGGTGCCTTTCAGGAAGATTCTTTTGAATGCAAACCAGTTCTGTGAATTCATATGGTAATCAACCTAGAAAACATAACGTTTTCAAGATTTTAATGCAATCATATAATATGGGAAATCAGTTTGATTAGCAGTGGTATGACACGGCAAATGCAAAGCAGATGCCAATTCTAGTATTTTCACAGACTCTCAATCCCTTCAAAGCAAGGCCTGAAATTGACAGGCATGATAGTTTACAGATATGTTAAGCACCAAATCCCAGAACCCCTAACTAAATTGGGAAGGGTGTTTTAGGGCATCAGGTTCAATTTTAATTAAAAAAGCCACCTCCAAGTTCTATAGATGTTTATTGCCAACCATGAATTGAGATTAACATCAGAGGAAAGATTCAATTAGTCTGTATTTGGTCCAATTATTCTAACTGATAGTGGGTGAGTGGAATAAACGTTGTCCTGACCTTTCTCTACTCTCACTTCATGGCAAAACATAACCTTTGTTCCTAAGTCAACATTGCTTCATCTCCCTGTTATTCTTGGAGAAACCTTCCAATTAGACCATGGTGGGATCTAATAATGAATTTTATTAGGATAAAAAATAAAAAATTGAAAGGTTCATAAATACTGCAAATAACCTTCTGCAAATTTTGTGTTATCTCTGAGGAAATATCATCCATCTTGATTTGATTAGAGCTCAACCACTCAACAACTAATGAGCATGTAAACTTGATAGAAGATTTTACAATTGACATTCTAATTTATGTCTCTATCAAACATGATTTGTATTTTTGTCAGTCTCAAGGGTCTCAAGATTATGTAATCACTTTTTGCAACCTTCTGAACAAGAAGTCAATGAAAAAGCCAGATTTACTTAACAATCATGTTGCTAACTTAAAAACTAAAGTGATTCTCTAAACAAGGTCATAAAATGGAGCAAAATTTACTTAACAAATGTCTCACTTAGCAACAGAAATTTTGGGCTGAATTGTGATCATAAGTTGAGAACTACTTGCATAGTAGTTTGTGGCCTTCTACCATAATAGTCTCCTAACTGATTGATTGATAGATTATATGTTACCATGTTCGTGTTACCTCTTAGTGACCACATAGATGATGATCTGTTCACAACTGGTCCTTTAGATTTCCCAATAGTACCCCCATAACTGCAGTAATTTAATCCATTCACTTTGCTGATGGTTGTCCATTTCTTCTGTTTTCCTCAGCTATCTTGAATGTTCCATACTTCTCAAAAAAGCTAAGTCTTCATACTATGTGTCCAAATCATGAGGAATTTTGATTGTTTTAATTAAAAAAGCAAAGATGTAAAAGTTCTAAATTTGAGTCTTCCTTTGAATTTAAGGCCTAATCAATCTAGCCCATTATTGGAGCTTCAGAAGGATGCCAGGAAACGGTTTTCCTTTTGCTCTTCAAAATTATTTCAGATTTTGCATGATCTAAAACAAGAATGACATTTTTCTTTCCTTTCCTAATATGATGCTTAATCTTAACTGATAGCTTCTTCTACTATCGTGCTTCATTCCTTGATCTCACAAATTTTCATTTCTCAGCCAGAAGGAATTTTCATACTGACCTACTACTATAAAAGGTGCTCCATGAAAAGGGCAGGTATTTTTGATGGTACACTACTGCAGCCAAAAAAAGTGTATTTGGATTTTGATCAGCAGCGTTTATATTTGACTTGATGTCAAAAGAGTTGTCACCTGCTATTTACCAGTGGTATCCTTCGGGCATTTTAGCCTTTGGCTCTGTAATAAGGGCAAGGCACCTACAGGGTCGAACCAACCACTCTGTCTGAAGCTCTTTGGTTCTTACGTAACCCTTACCTTGGGATGAGTGGTAACTGGAAGATTAGATCCCTTTCCTGTTGCATAGACAAACACGGCTTTCCATTTCTCCCTTTTCCACCAACCCGCTGGAGAACCAGCTATGGATTGAAGGGGAGATCTTTGCCGTATCCCTAGGTCTGGCTAAATTATAAGAAGCAGAATAATCTGTAGTTCAGCCAAGCTGAGAGAAGGATTAGAAGGACATGAGGCAAATCCAAGATTAAAGCTTTGTAAAAGATGCCAAGAGAAGAGAGGGAGAGTTCTACCTATAACATAGTTTTAAAAAATCCTAACATAATTATAACCATAGCTAAATACCACTATTTCCAACCTTACCTGAGGCAGCCTCCTCATTAAGGTGTTTAAGCAATTCCCTCTAGACATATACAACTGGCTTGTGGTTTAAAGGGCCAACTACTGGACAGCCCTCTACGACCTGTGGTCTGGATGGTATGAGTTGGACTAACAGGTTTTTCTATACATAATTGCTCCAGACAGTGAGAGCTCGGTTTGATGGAGCCCAAGAGTTCAAGTTGGAAATGGAATTTTTTTGGAGAGCATTTTGGACTTAATGCTTGATTTCAAATTATTTTAATTTTGGATGTTTCACAGATTTTTTTCATTTTATTTGGTCTACTGATCTTTTAATTATTCATGTATTCTTGTAGAGCTGCCAGAAATCCTATGGGATTGCAGTGGGGTATAAACATAAATAAGTGTTGATGTTATCTAGTTTAGTAATGAAACATCTGCAAGAAAGCAAACTCAGAGAGCACCAAGAATCCAAATATCAATAAATAACTGTCATCTAGTTAGCATCTGGATTTTTGCAGCCTAGTTCTGGTAGCCACATGTGAATTGCAGTGCAAAAGCTGGAGACCATTAGGTTTAATTTAGAAAGTTCCAAGTGCAGCTCCGTTTATGAGGAAAGATCAGGAAAGACTCTGAGCTATGATCCTGGAAAGCCACCATCAGCCAAACTAAATAATAATGGTTAGGATATAAGTCAGTGCCTATCTGCCTCTATACAGGATCAGAAAATTTTGTTTATCAGATACATTTATGCCACTATTTCTTCAGGGAGTTCATATTTTGAAGGTTCATGTCTGCCTGAAGAACAATTTTTGACTGATCAAGGATTTGAATGAGGATTTTTCTACTCCCCCAGGCAACATTTTGACAATGATAATATTTGATTTCCAAAATTAATATGATTCGGAACTACAACTCTCACTAGCCCCATCTAACATAGCTGATGAGGAGGAATTCTGGGAACTAATATTTTATCCAATATTGGTTCGTTTAAAAAAGAAAAACAGTCAGACGCAAGTATAGAAGTATAACTTGGTGCTATGACTGATATAGCTTCTGTTCAAATATCTTTCCCTCCATACTCTGTTATTGAATGAGAAAATGTCATCATTTCAATATTATTCTATCGATATTTTCATTATGCAATAAACATTTTTATTGCATAATGATTTACTGTAGAATAAGAGCATGCAATAAAAAGATTGGAAGTTTTCCCTTGTAATTGTACCTATCTCTTTTCATACTTGGGTTTATTTAAACTTTGGTTCCTCAGAATGAGGCAAAGAAGACTTGGGGAGAGGGACAAAACAGGAGAAACCCAGTCAAGGCGTTTATGACATGAATTTAAGATAGGGAGTGCAAGAACTTGAGAAAATTCAGATGATTCTTCCCTTTGAAGAAAGAAATTCTAACTCAGTCAAAAAGAGGAAGCAGCAGAAGCTACCAGACAGGGACCAAGAAACGCTAAAATATCATAGACCAGTGTTTCTCAATCTTAGCAATTTTAAGATGTGTAGATTTCAATCCCCAGAATTCCCCAGCCAACTTAGGGAATCATGAGAGCTAAAATCCACTCAAATTTGCCAAAGTTAAAAAAAAATTGTGGAATAGAATATTTTTTACAAAAAAAATAGGTTTAAATTTCTGATTGGTTCATTTGTCAATAGTCAAATATTGATAAATATTTATTGACCTTGTTGGATGGGAATTCTTGAGTCTGTAAGTGTTCATGGAATGTTGTATGATCAATGAGATATACTGTTGGTTATACAGGAATGTTAGTCATGTTGGGTCTGTGTGTTTGTATGAGTGTACATAAATCAATTGGCCTTTTGTCACATGATACATGCAAATGGATGTTCACAGACGATAAAAGAAACTCCATGGTAATTTTCTGTGATCCTCATTCCCTTCAGAAAATCAAGTCATGGAAATGACTGTGTTTGGCTTTAACCAAGGATTCTCTTGTCTTACAGAGAGAGGATGCAAGCCATGGAAAAACAGATTGCCAGTTTAACTGGCCTTGTTCAATCTGCGCTTTTAAAAGGGCCAAATACAAGTAATAGCAAAGATCCTTCTAGGTAAAAAACCCCAAAATGAAATAAAATCATTAAATCTATTTCATTGTAATGATATTAATGATCACCATGGGGGTGGTGTGGGAAGGAATGTCCCAGGACAAATCCTGACCTTGTTGGTTTCACTTGAGTCAAGATTTCATCTTCACATTTTAGAAAGTTGGATAAAGTAGAAACAACAGTAATTCATGGAGATTTGCCCTATTCTTCTGATTAACATTTCAGTTAATCATCTCTTTTGGTGGTGGACCTCTACTCTTCTTTTTTAAAATTATATATTAACATAGCAAGTAATTAAATTACAAAGCAATCTATATTCTAGTCAAGATGTAATTTAGATTAAAATTATAAACAAAAGCATTGATAGTTCATTATTTAAATAGTTTGCATTATCTGACAACATCAAGATGATTTTAATATAATTATTATCTACTTTTCTTCCATTTAGTGAGAAGATGGTCAAAATTGTAACTAGTAAGAGCAGTGCCGAGAAGGCAGGTAAGCTTTCTTGTGATGTGATAAGTACAACAGAATTCATTTTACCTTAAAGGAAATTCTGGGAATCAACATAAAAATTTGAATGTGCCATAATACTTTCAACTGTTAAGAATCTGGCCAAGGAGCCAAGGAATTTCATGAAACTGGAGAGAAAGCAAGACACTGTTTTTGCTAAATATGAAGCATCCTAAGATGATAGTCTTTTGCAGTACTGAGATTAATTGTTTAGTTTGTTTTCTTCTATAGCTCTATGTTTAATTTGTATGAACAAGCATTATAAAGACATTGTAAGTCTGTAATGCTTTTTGTCCAAGGAAACATAAAATTCTGCCTTGGATTCCTGTGGTTTTGGGACAGTTACAATGGAATGTAGTGATGTAAAGAGTAAAATTCAAACAAAATCATTTTTATTATATTACCTGGTCTATTTCCCTTCAGAATGCAAGAGTACATAAAAAGTTGGTCTGCAAAGAAAAGAGCACAGAGCACTCAACCACGTAACCTTCAGAAGTGTCCTGTGTCCTCAGGGGGTGTTTTACAATATACAATACCTGGTTGATAAAGAATTTGGGCATATAAAATAGTTAACTCATCCTATCAATTCAATGCCCATCTTTCTTGAACAAGTGTAGAGTTGGTTTTCCGAATCAGTAAAGAGCTACAACATCTTGAGGTGTTTCAAAAAAAATGTATCATATTTTTTTTTTTTACAAGTGATAAATTGGAAGAAGTCCTTTCTGGAAAAATGCTTTCAAGAATTTCAGCCTCCTGTTTATTTGCTATCACTAAGCCTGGCATTTGAATGTGCCTCCTCAGAGTCATTAAAAGGACTTTCAAAGTTGGCAAAATTGACTGTTTTAATTAGAGAAGAAAACATATCCCATTTTGTTTCTACTTGGAAACCACTTCTTCGTGCTTGAGACAGAAAAAGAATGAAAATTTAACTTTGGATTTTGCTGACTAATCTACTTTAGAGAGCCAGTTGGTGGTCTAGTGCAGCAATCCCCAACTTTCCTGGCTCCATAGACCAGTGGCTGTGGTGGTAGGGAGAAGGGATAGTTTCATATGTGCAACCTAGATCCTGCGCATGCGCAAATGAAGTTTCCTGTGCTTGCCTACCACTTCCAGTTCCCAACAGGAGTTGTGAACCCATAGTCTAGTCCTTAGATCGGCCTAAAAAACTAGAGTTCCAATCTCACTTTAGTCATGAAAGAGAGTGTCTCTTTTTCAATCCAGCCCACCCTTACAGGGTTGTGGTGGGGAAATAAAAGAAAGGAGGAGTATTAGATATGTTTACCATTTTGAATTATCTGTAAAAATACAAAAGATGGGATATAAATAAAATAAAGAAGAGAGATAGAGATAGAAATGGCTAGTCCCTGTTAATTTGGTAAAGTTGAAGCTGCAATTTTGTTTTGTATTTTACTGTACTGAAAAAGTTGGAAGTCAGTTCTTTCCCTTTCCCATTTCCTCACAATTTTTATTTTCGTTTGTATTTTACCCCATGATTAATTCCAGTAATAAAGGAGGTACATGGAAAGGGATTGACTTTTAAAAGAGACCGCATGAAGACATCTATGCTGAACGTTGCCTTGTTAGCTTCCTGGGAAGACAGCATACCCAAGCCTTGAGCTCAGGCATTATATTTCTCTCTCTCTTCTCTTTCTTCTTGTGCCTACAGAGCTGCCTCTAAACATGGCATTGCCCAGGGTTGCATGTTTGAAGAGGCAGACACAGCTGGGTGGGTGTGGTATGCTAGAAAAGAATCTACATCTGCCATTTTAATTTCTCGCATGAAAGATTACGTAAGAGTCCTTTTTATATTGCTGAAACATCATCCAAACAAAATGCCAACTGGAAAACACATGACCTATTGCAGAGAAACGAGCTATTTTCCCTCACCTCATTTTCCCCTTTCAAGATGGGAAATTCCTTTTAAACTTTAATTGCTTGACAGAAAAACTATCATTCAGATTTTTTTTTTTATTGTTGGAATCAAGCCCATCTGCAACTTCACTGATGTTCAAAATTTTGAAACAATGGAAAACCAAGGCCGGAAAAACAGTTCTGTGCAATGTTTAGGCTTCCTTTAAAACTAAATATAGTGAGGTTTGGGGCTTGAATTGGACAATAAAAGTATGACCTAACCAGTCAAGAATGAACTCCATTGTAAGAGGTTTAAGATTTTCCCACTCAGCAACATGACTTGCCCAATTCTGGATTCCAGCTGATAATGAGGAAAGTAATGGAAGAAAATAATATGAAAACAAAATGAATTATTCAGAACAAAGATGTGTTTTTCATGCTCTAATCATAACAAAAAAAAATCCAATTCCAAACAGAAAGGACAAATTTCTCCTTTAATTCTGTGTCTAACTTTATGATTTAGCATTGTTGAGAAAAATCTGTTAGTCTGAAAATGTCATGTTTTCTCCCTTTAAGAAAACATTTTTGAACAGGCTTGGTCAATATTAAAAGCTTAGTTTTTCTTCTTAAATATTTATAGAATCAGGTGAACTTTATATACCTATAATTACAGGTTTTATTTTTATGTTCTTTTGTATTTTCTTATGGTTTAAAGTTTTCCTTTCCTTTTGTTCTTGTATATATATTATTTTTGTGTAAATGTGTATACAGTTTACTTTTATCTTAGATTATTTTATGTAGGTCTAAATTATTTTATTTTATGAATGTCTGTTTGAAAATGGCTCAATAAAAAGTGTAAATCTAATGAAATCTAATCATCAACTTACTAGATTCTGACAAATTCAGTATCTTATATATAATTTAGGCTTATTTATAGATGTTACTGAATTTGTCAGAATCTAGTAGACTGGTGATTAGATTTCATCAAATATCTGAGCAGAAAAAAAATCGCAGGTTTGTTTACATTATATATAAATTATATTTTGACAATGATTCTCTTTTTGTTGTCTCATCTGTTCTCTGTCAACACATCAGTCAACCATTGTGCCCATTATATTCTAATCTCTGATATCTCTGATACTCTGAAACACCAAGTTTATTAAGTGATCCATGGGAGCTCCAATTTTTAATGATTGAAGGTGGAATAGAAGTGAGGGAAGTAAGGTTATTAATGGAGTCATTTGCCTGTCTTTATTTTTAGGATCCACTCATGACTTCACTGGGAAGAATTCATTAGCAGAAGTTGAGATTTCCAGTAAAAGCCCCCGCCATTCTCTTCCGTCAAATTCTGCAGCCATGCAATTCAGTCTCCTTAACGTGAAACGCAACGTATCTGATCTCCGTCTTCAGCTTCTCCAGATCAGGCAGTTACAGGTATTGTTATATCAGAGAAAGCATCCACTGAGGTGCAAGCATATCTATATTTGCATTTTCAGACCCATTCACAAACTAAATCTTAGTTACATTTGAAAATTCACTTTTCCTAATTTTATAGTGCACTTTGCCAAAATTACCCTTGTTAGAAAATTATTTTGTGTAGCTGAGTAAAATTGCTGAGGAATATACTTTTTGAAATGGGTACCAAAATGCAAACACATTTTAATTTGAACTTCTTTAAAAAAAAACAAAGAGATAGTCATGATGGCACAAGCCTCAGAGAAATTTAATAGAACATTTATCAGTGTGCCTTTTTTTAGATTCCACAAAGTTTATGTTGCTTTTCTGCAACAAATTGATCAGATACTCCTCTGAAAATTACTCTGAATATTCTTTCAAATTATTAGTGTAAACATCACATTAAAGGTTTGTTTGTAAAGGAAGGTAAGATCAATAGAGCAACAGTCATATACCATAAAGATGTGGCTAAGCCGTAGTTATTCTTATGAATAAATTAAAATGATAAAGATACAACTGATTGGTGAAAATTGAAGTTTACCCTTTATCCATCTCACCAGCCTGATAACATATGTTGTTATATCATCATGTTTATAAAGCTGAGAATGCTGCCTATTTTAAAACAAATAAATAAGACATATATTTTAAGGATGTCTAAACATTAAATTGTAGTGTTTAAAATATATATTTTGCAAGCCTGCTTTTGGTTTTTATTTTGATTAGGGCAAGTTCATATTGTAACAGGATCTAGGAGTCCTAATGGATAATCATTTAAATGTGAGCCAGTAGCATGCTGCATTGCCAAAATGCCAATGTACTCCTAGGTTTCATCAACAGAGAAATAACATCAACATCAGTGAAATACTAGCACCATTATACACTGCTTACGTAAGACCACATATAAAAATACTGTATCTAATTCTTTTATCTATTATCACCAGAATAGTTAAAAAGAGAACAGCACAATAGTTAAAAAAAAGACTCTAGAAAGAGTATAGAGGAGAGCAACCAAGATATTTAGGAATCCAAAAGCTAAAATGTATGATGGCTGGTTTCAGGAATTATTCTAACAAAAAGAAGGACTAGGGTTGACATGATAACCGTCTTCCAATATTGAGAGGCTGACACAAAGAAAAAAGGGGCAACTTAATCTCCAAAGCACCTGGAGGCAAGACAAGAAGTAAGGTAGAGAGACTTATCAAAGAGAAATCCAATCTAGAACTAAGGAGACATTTCCTGACAGTGAGAACAATCAGTGGAACAGCTTCCCTTCAGAAGTTGTGGGTGCTCCATCACTAGAGGTTTTTAAGAAGATTTTGGACAGCCATTTGTTCAGAATAACATAGGGTCTACTGCTTGGGCAGGGGGAGTGGATTAGAAAACTTCCAGGCTCCCTTTCAATTCTGTTATTCTGTAAGGTCATCTAGACTGCCTCCTCTCTGGGTAGTCTCTCTTAGATTCCCAAATTCCTTCAGTGGCTGAAAAATTCACAAGATGGTTCTTTTGATTGGCTTTTCACATTTATCTGAGGAGAATGACAACCAAATCATCTTTTCACATTTATCTGAGGAGAATGACAACCAAATCATCAATTTTGTAAAGAAGACATGTTCAACTATTTAATCAGAACTAATTTATGCTCATTAATGTGTATTCTTTAGGATTCCTATACAAACATGAGTTTTTGTTTTATTTAGAGTCATTGTCTATGTTGGTGCTCTTGTTCTGATCTTTCCAGGAGTTATTTATAGTAATTTAAAATTTAAATTCTTGTTATTACTCACACTCAAGAATGATATCTTATTTAAGATATATTAATATCTTAAAGTACATGCCCCCAAGGTGCTTTCTTTCAAAACGCAACCGAACTTTCTTGTTTTGCTGGAAGACATTTGGCTTCTCACCTAAGAAGCTTCTTCATTTTTGACTGAATGGTGGAGAATGGAAAGATTTATATTCCTTGCTGTCATGCAGTCAAAGAGGGATAACAACCACATGACTGCAAGGTATATAAATCCTTCCATTCTCCACCATTCAGTCAGAAATGAAGAAGTTTCTTGGATGACAAGCCAAACATCTTCAGGCAAAACCAAAAAGTCCAGTCGCCATTTTGAAAGATAGCACCTTGGGGACAACTTTGACCTGGATGCCTGAGAGTCTCCATAGACATCTTAAAATATATGTTTTAAAGAATACAGTGAACTCTGTGGAAAAGAATCTGAGGTATCTTTTTGCTTCAGACGTTTTTCTCTCTCAGCATACATATGAATATGGTAAGAGCATTTATTCAGTGATCCTCCATAATGTACAAATATGTGTCCATATGCAGCCAAGGTTGATTCTAAGGACATGTGCTTTCAGTATCCTTCATCACAAACAATAGAAGCAAGCAAGAATAGTTCGTTCTGTTCTTTGGCCAAATGACAATGAAAACAACACGTAAATATTTATGGAAAAGGGCTAAAGGCATCTTAATGGCCAGTTGGTTTCAAAAGTACAAAGTACAAAGCATTGGCCTTTTGTTTTGTTTTGTGATTGTTTATCTCATCTTTTGGTCTTCAGTGTTTTGTGGACAGAGAGGGAGGGTGAGGTTGTAAAAGCAGAAATGCAAAAAGCCATAATTGCCTATCGATAGTGAGATCATTATTTGGATCAGTGATTGGGGTAATGTGTGGCATAATTAAAAACCTTGGCCTCTGTTCATTGTATGAGAAAGAGGGTCAAATTACTAAATGCTTTCCCAGTTCTTTCTCTAGCCAACCTGTAATTGGCTGAGAAGATCAATAATGCTGCATCTGACAGTGGTATCCAAAGGTAAAACAGAAGCAATAAAGAGGACTTTCATAGTCAGAGATGGTACATGTTAATAAGCCTTTTCTAGGAGTATAAATATCTACTCATGAGTTGATCAGTGGAAGCTTCAAGCTTAGGACTGTAATGAAGTCTAGACTTCTCTTCATAAAAGATGATGGTCATAAGTTGAGGCACCCATCTAACTGATCCAATTTTACGATATTTTTTGCAGTGGTTGTGAAGCAATTATGGCAGTCATTAAGCGAGTCAATACATTCCTATGGGCATTTTTCGCTGAAAAGGCTGGTTTTGGGGGAGAGGCGAGTTGTAAATCACATGACTCCACAACACTGGAACCAGCTTAAAAGTTATTGGTTGTTAAGCAAGGACTACTTATATTATAGAAACAAAGAGTGCTGTGATAATAGTAATCAGTTTCTGCAGAGACTTGAAATCTAGCCATATCCTATGTCAACTTCATAGAAATATCTCTTTCTACTGTCTGTATGTTGGTTAAAAAAACAAGTTTGCTGCCCATTCTAGAAGACCTAAAAATCTTTCAGCCAACCATGCTGGCTGGGGAATTCTGGGAGTTGAAGCCCACCCATCTTATCATTGCTAACATTGAGAAACACTGGTTTACATTACAGACAAAACCTACATTAAAAACCTACATTTCTTGTAAGCTGATCCCTAGTTTAGGTTACATATTGCTGCATGTTTCCTTTCTAAGTCTGTGGGCAAAGATACTTTCTAGAGCTTGTCCAGGAAATTATGGTTGGGCTGCTTGAACCCGAATACAAAATATGTATCAAGCACTAATTTTAAGCTATCGCTTTCCCCAAAGCCAGCAGCCTTCAGACATGCTGGATGAACATTCCATCTTTCTTCACTATTCACTATTATATACATTGGCCTCGCGGGCTGGTAAGACATACAGATCATCCTTGAGGTACAAGAGATCACTTAATGGCCCTTTGAAGATACAATAGACCGTCCCCCTCCCAAAGCTACTTACAACCCTGTTTCAGAGACTGTACACTCTTATAATGGGATGCTGCAGAGGCCCACCACCACCCATCCTGCTGGGTCCCTACAGGCCTTTGAAATCCCATCCAGCCATCCCAGGCAGGCTAAAGCTGGTCAAAAGAACCTATTGGCACATGGTGAGCTATTAGAGGTTTTAGGCCTAAGCCTTATTTCCATCCAGCCATCAAAAAGAGCCTAAAGCCAGGCAGCACAAGCTACCAGCTCACAAGGAGCTGTTGGAGCTTTAGACCTAGGCCTTTTTCTAGCAGCTCATCAAGCACTGGTAATTTATGTTACACAGCTATAGGCCACCTTGGGCTTTGGTAGCCACCTGGCGATCCAGTAGCTTCTGCTGCTCAGTTTTTGGCTGCTTTGGGTAGTTGAGTAGTATCCATAGGAAAGGGAGCATAGCATGGGGTGCCTCAGGGAGATAGAGGAAGCCTTGGAAGGCCTTGGGTAGGTAGGCCTTGGTTTGCGCTAGGGCTTTGTCTACCCCTGTCGAACCAACCTCTGCTTGGCATCTGTCTTAACACCTGCATGCTCATTTAACAGCTGCATCAGGAAGAGCTGGGATTGGAGGTTGTTAAGTGAGGCTGTTTTGCTTAATGGCTATCACAACATGTGACCATAATAGGTAGACTCCATTATGATCATATTATATCTAGGACCGATCTGGAAAGCACCAAGAATAGTTTTCCTGGTTTGTGGTATGCAAATTATTGACAGACAGACAGGCAGACAGACAAAGATTTATAACAGCATTGTCTTTGCCGGAAGTTCCTTTTCAAGGAGTCATAAGCAAAATCATTAGGTGCTAATGAAAAATGAAAGCATCTATTTAGCCGTATGAAATATTGGATTACTGAAATTATATGACTTCAGTGCTCATTTAGAATGACAACATCATTCTAGGAGCTGCAATGAGAAGTGAAAAAAGAGGGAGGAGACAGTAACAACGTTAGATACAATACTTGGCTAACTTGAAACTTAACCATATGATCCACTGTAATCCTTCTTTCCTTCCTTCTTAGCTAATTGGAAACTGTACAATCTCTTAATTTTATTTCTAAATCTCAAAACCGCCTACACTTACTTGAATTCTTCATAATGTAGTCTGTTTGTTCACAAATTTCACCTAGACAAATGTTGCAGACCAAAAAAAAAAAAAAACCAAGTTAAACCTGGGTGATCCTCATTGCCTTTTTCTTCATAGCCACCCAGAACGTTATCACTGTGTTATCTGATAGGAGGAGACCCTGGTGTTTCAATTTATCTCTTCTGTATAGAGATAATAGGAAAAGCAGAAGGTGCAAAGCTCATTTGATACTTACTTGAGCCTCATCAAATTATTATTAGATTATTATTATTAGTTGTTTTATCCTGCCTTTATTAATTTTATAATTATCTAAAAATGGCAAGCATACATAATAGTCCTACCTCCTCCTATTTTCCGCACAACACCAACCTGTCAGGTGAATTGGGCTAAATGAGAATGATTGGCCCAAAATCACCCAGACAGCTTTCATACCTAAAAAGGTACTAGAACTCTTAGTCTCCTTGTTTCTAGACCAGCACCTTAATCAGTATACAAACTGTCAGCATTACTATGTTCTGAAACTGTCAAAGAGCTTGCCAGGAGGGAATGGAAGACCACAATGAACATAAAAAGGGGCAAAGCCTTGATTACATGGTTGTGGCTTCCATTTTGACTTTTTTGTCCAATAGGTATACTAAAATCTAATATATTCTCCCTCTCCCTCCCTCCCTCCTTCCCTCCCCTCCTATCTCTCTCTCTCCTCCTCTTGCACACGCTCGTACACACACACACACACACACACACACACACAGACATTTTTTGCTGGATCCTTTTTGAGTCTATCTCCACTGTTTGGATTTTATTTTGTGGGTTTTTTATTTTTGTTTTCATATTCATCACCCAATTGAATGACTGATCTATCCAAACAATGACCCATTTGTGCCATCTTCAGGAAGGGGAGCTGCTTTGTGTTATTAGAGAGTAAAGTCTTTTGGGATTCTTATTTGTATCTGTGCCTAAAAATGAATTGTAGAAAATCGTTGCCCAACACATCAGAATGTGATAGATATAACGTGCTAGACTGTTTTGCTTATAAAGCTAAAAATAATTATATCTACAGCTTATTTTTTAAAAAAAATTAAAATCCTTTTAAAAACCCACTTAGTTTTTTAAATCAATAATCTGCTGAACTTAGATGTATACTTTATATATTAATAGCATTCATGCTCATTTCTGCTTCCCCTGTTTGTTTTTTAATGTGTAAGCATTGATATATATTATTTTTTAAGTGTGTTCAGCTGCAATTTTGTTTATGCAAATCCATTTCTGAGCAATGGGATGTGTTGAAGTAGGATGGATGTTAGGCAGGACAAATTGACACTGATATATTTTTTTTTAATGTAACAGCTTCAGAATCAGGAGACATTAAAAGCCATGATGAGGAATGCAGAACTGGAGATCAACCACAAAGTGATGGAAAGAGCAAAAAGATTGGAAGACCCCATGCAGCGCCATCGCCACCTGGTGGAGCAAGAAAGACAGAAATACCTTCTTGAGACAGAAAGGATTATAAAGAGCTTATGGTAAGTCGAAGCGAACTCTTGACAGGAATTAGTTATTATTTCATCAGCCTCTCACGTAATTACTGAGGTTTGAGTAAGGGCACAGTGAAATTTGGAAAGGAAAACATTTTCAGTTTATATTTTTCCCCTTTGCTTAGACTCAAGTTATTTTATTTTTTGTATATTTATTAGTTGTATATTCTGCAAGGGACTTATTCTTCAATTTCCCTTATTATTTTTTGGCCTTTGGGGAGGGAAAAAAAAGATTCTGTTTTTCTAAGGTTTTTTTAAAGGCTTGCTTCAATCACTCGATCGATTTTTATTCTGTCATGGATCAGTGGATAAGACACAAAAATCACAATTAGGATAAAGAAAAACATAATTGTTCTAAAATATCTGAAAAGGATTAGAGGAGACAATATATCATGCTATATAAACTAGAAAACTGTGGCAAAGGAAATAAAATATCAGACTGATATGATAATAACAATTTAAAGTAATACAAGTCAGGAGGGCAGGATATTTAGTAGAGTATAGATAATAATTCCTGGTGAGCACCTGCATAGAGAGGGCAATACAGAATAATGTGATCCATTGTTTCAGTTATTCTTCCACTGCATGGACATAGTTTCCGTTCAAATGAGTTCTTTTTATAGTTTAAGCCTTGTTTTCTACAGAAGCTTTGGCTTCTGAGTGATACATACTGAATGATAGTTTTGAGGGAGCTATTTCCTCTTTCTTCATCAGTCTACAATAGTTACTTTTCTCTGAAAAGGCTGGTTGCCTCGTTAAGAAGAGTTCCTTTACTTCCTGGAGGTTGAGTGGAAGTGTAAGAAGCTGGACAAACTATAGCATACATCGGTGGAGGTGAATCTAAAATAAAAGCCATCCACAAACAACTTTGAGTTGGTGTTAGAGAGGGGTCACCTACATCCAGCCAGCTAGTACTGCCATTAAGGGAAATTCAATAATTCTGGCTCCCATTTATTAAAAAAAGATATTTTTTGTGCTTTGGAAAAAATAATAAAAACAATCCCTTTTTTTCACCCAACTGCAGAAAAACTTTTGTAGACAATAATGAAATGTGTGTCTTTAGAAGTCTTGCTAGGTTAAAGTTCTATGCAAGTTTGAGAAGGAACTTTTTTGAAATTGGTGGATTTTCTTCTGTCTCAGCAAGCAGGGGATTAGGTTTTGCTCATGAGCCTAAGGAAAGAATTAAGGCTTTATGAAATGATATTCCACTATAAAACTTCATATGTAGGGGGGCAGTTGCACAATAAGCACACTTTTTCAGATATTTTCCAATGAATTTTGGCCACAGTATATTTTACTCTTTTTATTACATGTATATACATGCAAGCCATCAGTCTATATTGCTTACAGCTTTTACTAGGAGATGAATCAGAGAGTTGCAGAGGCTCCAAGCTTGTTTTATAAATGAAATTAATTAGGTGGCCTTGAGCAAGCAGCTCATTCTTAACCAATTGCCCATGGTTGTTGAGAAATTGAGAAGTTTGGATACATGAGAGCATTCATAATTAAAACAAATAAAATCCTAACAAACCTAAACATGTATGGACAGAAGATGTTGGAGGTAAGTTCTACAAACTTTCTAAGTAACAGCCATTGGCAGCAGCTCAAGTCTTTCCGGTGAGGTTTCTTAATATATTCTATTGATCTCTCGGTATTGGTTGGTTCAAGAGCTTGAAATAATAACTTTTCAGACAAGATCATCACCTTTACTGATTAAACTGCATTGAAATCTATACTTTTTCCCAGGAAATATTTTTCTGTCTGTATGTTTTGTTAGTTAAGTAATTGCTTCCAGGTTTACAGGTAGTTCTGTGTGTCAAACAGTTTCCTTAATTCCAAAATTATTTTAAGGCATGCCTGTTGCTGCCATTCTTACCATAGTGCCTACAAATAGGCTTGGAATAATTGTAAATACATTATACAAAACAGATTCTAAGGGAAATTATCACTTCAATATGCTGCAAAATGATCTAACCATTGTATTTATTAACCCAGCTACCCTCTAAATATACTAGTTGGGATATGTCAGTTAATCACTGATTCCCTTGTTTTTGTGAATTCAAGATGGATTATGAGTTTTCCCATACCCTGTGTAATTAATTGGTTTGAGTAAAATATTTAGCCTAGAGTAATGTTTTGAATCCCATGAGTGTATAGGAACCAGGGTTTTGCTGGTCTAGATTCAGCATTGTAACCATTAATTAATTCTGTAAAATTAATCTAGAGAAGCTGGAAATGGTTGATGTAGACATAAATGTACTCTAGAGCAGGCATGTCAAACAAATGCCCCGTGTAGGCCACATCCACCCCAGCCGCACAAGGGCAAAAAAAAATAATAATCCTGATATGTCACACTAAGGCCTGCAATGCAATCGGGTTTGACACCCATGCTCTAGAGCTTTCAAGAATGAAAGCCCATATATTGAGATCAATTGACTAAAATAGCAGTTTGGAAAAATCATAATGAAATAAATTTAGAGTTAAGCTGCCAACTATTTAAATCTACATATATAACCATAATTGAGAATCATGACATCTCTTCTAAAACGTTAGCCTAACTTTAGCCAGGAGACACAGAACTTCTCAATCTTGGTTTGTATTAGTTCTGTGTTCTAGAATCTGGGCCCTTTCTGAACCCGTGACAACAGCTACAAAGTCTGTTTGACTATATTCTCCATACTCCTCACAAGATTCCAGTGTCAGAGAGGGGATTATAGGAATTGTTGGGGGTACCTCAAGTTAAAGAAAGTTCTTGCAATTAATTTTACAGATAAGTGAATTGGATATATATCTAAGTCAGAAAGATATTTGTAAAGCTTTGGAGAGTAATCCAAAATCTATAAAGGTTAGTTCCCTAAATCTTTTTGAGTCATCAAAAAACTTCAGGAATTTGGCTACAAATCTCTGAAAGACAATATTTTGGTTCTTTTTTTTTCTTTTTCAAAAAAAGGGAAGTATAGAGAAAAAGAATTTCTGGAATCTTGGAAATCCCAGCTATCATTTCAATGATTTAATCCCAGCATTGTTTTGCCCGCTTTGACTGCCAAAAAGAAAGAAAATGAGTTGTACCTGCTCTTTCCAAAAAAAAAAAAAAACAACTTGAAAAAATTTAAATTCTATGTGAAATCTCTTTTTTTTTTAAAAGAGAGTTTTAGTTGGTTGGCTTTTCATGTCAACTAATCTTTCTCTCTTTTTTCCTCTTCTTTCGTCACTTTCTCTTCTGCTTTTGTTTTGTGTTGTGGGAACATCTGCATTAAAAATAATAATATTGGAACATTATTGTCCCTCAATGCACCAATTAAGTAATACTAATCATGGAACTAGCACAATATTATGACTGAACTTGAACTCAAAGAGTAAATGATTCTGATAAACTAACCAAGAGTGATAGTTATTAACCAACCAGTTTTTTCTGTTCAGATTTGTGAAAGTTTGATACGCTACTGTTTAACTATCTTGGAGTTCACACGTTTCATATCATTTCCTTTGAAAGAAAGTAAAATTAATTTTTCATGAATCCAGTTTACACCTTAACAAGCTCCCTAGAACAAATAAATATATGTATACTGGAATGTGCATATATGTATACTGGAATGTGCATTTAAGAGGTTTAAATCCTCTTAAATTTCAGATGGATTAATTCAACTTAAGCTGCCCATAAAAGCCCATGACTTGAGCAATGAAGTTCACTCACTAGGTTTTGTTTAAGTTCTTGAAAGCAACATGATTGTTCCTCTCCAAGTCAATCTCAAAAAGAGATTCCAATGCCATAAGTGCAGCAAAAAATGGACTGCTTAAATTTCAGAGATAATGCCACAGTTTTTCCTCCCTACCCATCCCAGTGCACCTCAACAACTAGTTAATATTGAATTTCTCTTTAAAAGCAAGAAAATTCTATAGTTTTATCATCCCAGAGTTGCAGGCCACCACTTAAAGAAGTTTTTCTCAATCTTGGCAACTTTAAGATGTGTGGACTTCAACACTGGATTAACGCTGGCCGGGGAATTCTGGGAGATGAAGTCCACACACACATTGACAAATTCTGTCTTAGAGCTTTGAATGCATTTCCCAAAGCCCCTTCCAAATAACTACCATAATGCAATTTTTAATAGGACAGAGGAAGAAATTATTAAACCCAAAGAGAATAATCATAGCTCTTTAATTAAATACATTTTAATTAAATTAAGTAAACATTTTGTTTGGTTTAGTCTAACCCTCATGTTGACTACATCAAAAATCTAGGTGGAATCAAATTTAATTAGCATTGGTAAGCGAAGACCAGGAAACTCCAGACCTGCAGATGAGATCTGGGAAGTTGTAAAACAAGACAACCCTGACATCACAGTTGCCCAGAAACTATATGGAATCATCTAAGGAGTCATCAGGAATCAAACATAATTCAAAGTAGAATTTCCCTTTCTACCAGCAAAGGACACAAATGCGAATGCTGTAGGACAGTATCCATAGATTTTGAAAGGCTGAATTCCTGAGCTAAATGATGAGGAATGTTTCATGGATGCTTGAACAGATTGGCTGTATTTACACAATATGTTTAACTCGATGAGTTAAAGAATCTTGTATCTACTTTTGCACACAAGTGAAACTAGGTTAGTTTTCATTTGGGCTTTACCTTTAGCACCATTACCGACCCACTCTTTGTGATCCATTTATGTAAACACCAGTTGCAATGTTTAATGATGGCATCTGTCTTATCCTGGGAAGATGAAAAAGTGTTGGTCACTTGCTGCCATCTAGCGGTTGTTGTTTAGACTACAACTTTGCTTTACGGTTGTTTCCATTAAAAGTTTTCTTTTGAACAATAATTGTTCAATTATTCTGACACTTACAGAATTATGTATAACTCTCTCAAATCAGTGGTTTTCCCCAGATTCCTTTTTGTTGTTGTCATCCAAGTCATGATCTAGTTTAAAATACACATTTTTTTCTTGATCAGTGCAGTATCTTTGATGAAAAAGTTTATCAGTGATTCATAAGTTTAGGTGTTTGTATATTAAATGCCTAAGTGGTAATCAGTTGTAGCAGAACAATAGCAGAGCTTAAAGGTAAGGAGCTGAGCTGAACTTGATTCCTAGTGAAGTTGGGGGTACATGATAATAGAGTAAATTTACAGTATATGACATTAAAATATTAATTATGTCTTTCTCTAGCTTTTTTTATATCAGTATACTCCAATCTGATATTGTCCAGAATATTGGATTTCAACTCCTGTAGTTCTCCATCTTTGACAATGCTGCCTCAGAAGTATAGAAGAAAAAATTCAAAGCATATGAAAAATAGGGAGGGTACAAAACATTTTAATGCAATATTCTGACATAGAAACAAGAATTTCTAACTTAAGAATGGAAACTAGAAACATTCCAATTTCTGAGAATGGCTCTTTTATCAGTCTGTTAAGATGTCCTCACATCCAATTCAATTCTTCTACTTTTCCAGTGAGCTAGAAAGATTTGTTGAAGATCTGAAGAAGGAATCTTTGACATCTAACAGAACAGTAACACTGAAAGATGTTGAAGATGGAGCTTTCCTCTTGCGGCAAGTTGGAGAGGCAGTTGCCACCCTCAAAGGTGCCTTTAGGTTTTTTCCCCTTTGGTTTAAGTATCTAACTAACATTGCCTAGGTTCTTCTTATGCCCCATTTTTCACCCAAGTGCATTGGAAGTAAGTTTTAGTGAGGTCAGTGGGACTTAGGTCCAAAGTCTATGTGCCTAGGCCTGGGCCATGGATCTTAGAACTGAGATAATTTTGAGGGTGGATTAAGGTGAGGAAAGCTCAAGACCTATTTCTGTACTAGGGAAATTGAAGATAGGATGATGAACTGGAGTTGGCAACCTGTTTCTCCTAACCTTGGCAACTTTAAGACGTGTGGACTTCAACTCCCAGAATTCCCCAGCAAGGTTAAGAAATAGGTCATCCTACTAGTCCTACCTGCTCCAGGTTGATACCATTTACCAGCTAGAAAAGCCTCAATGCATGCATGAGTATCTACTGTATGTATACATGTGAATCGCTCTCTCTTGGATTCAGATATGTTTTAAACTGAAGTAATGCTATTTTTATCACTTCCCTCTTTACCCCTTTCACAGTATTCTATTTCAAGAATAAAAAGAAAAACTCTTTATATACTCTCCAAGAGTGAAAATCAAGAAATGTTTGCTAGGTAATTTGTAAGATAAAGTAACATTGAATTTATCAGACATCTGAATAGTAGTCTGTTCAGTCTCCTCACCCAAAACCGATTTTCTTCCATCTAGTACTTGCACATGAAGATGCAGATTCAAAAGCTGGATTCTCCCTCTCCTACCCTTTTCATTTAGTATTTGAGTAATAACCCCATGTCTCTAACACTGGCTGGATCAACACATGATAGTAAGCCAAACTACCAACACTGTAATTTGTTTCATTGCTTTTATATCTAAATATGCTGCCTTGCCTCTAAATAAGTCAAAGAAATAACGTGAGGTCACCTCTCATTTTAATCCTTGCCAGATTCTTTTGAAAGCCTTAAGTCTGAAAAAGAATAAGTGAACTAAAATGATCCAGTGAGTGTCATGTTGAATGGGCTTGAACTTGGCTACTTCTGATCCCAGTCCAGTATGCTAACCATCAGACATAGCAGTCTGAACATATACTAAACTAAAATAATATGATTCACTATCTGTACTTGATGACTGAATCCAATTAGTTTATTCCACAAACAAGTTTGACAAAATGGCAACTTCAGTATGAAATGGGAACTTAGGCCATCTTGCATTTCAGAAGTGGTTCACGGGCTCTTGTTTCCACAGGTGAATTTCCAACACTGCAGAATAAAATGAGAGCTATTCTCCGTATCGAAGTGGAGGCTGTGAGATTTTTAAAAGAAGAACCTCATAAACTAGATCTTTTACTGAAGAGAGTTCGGAGCATGACAGAAATCCTGACCACACTCCGGAGGTGATACTTGTTATTCCAACCTGTTGAAATTCATGCCATTCATACATCCATTCATCGCTTATATTCCAGAAAGACAGTGGATATTTTCACAATCTGTCCTATTACAGTTTTCCTTTGCATGCAAAAATTAAAAATCTAGGAAAATAATAAATTTGTATAATCATATAGCCAATCTCGAAGCAAAATCCTTTTTACAAATATTTAGTGTTAGTGTGATTTAGAAAGGTAAAATCATTTTTATTTAAGGAAGCTGAATTGCTTCCTTATCATGAATCTAATTGGTTAGGATCAGCCCAATTGATGTTATCCAGTTCTTAACTATTTTTATTGCTCTTAAGGGATTAATTAACCCAGCAGAAAGGCTTAATATAAGGCTACTTTATCTAGGGTGCAGAACTCTGCTCACTAGATTGCAACCAAATCATGTAGAAATTCCTCTTTGATCCCATCTTCTGGGGATGTGGATCAGGGGTGGGATGCTATTGGTTCTGCCTGGCTCATTAAGTAAGGCCATTGTTTCTATAGAACCAGTAGCTCTGAACAGCAGCAGACACTGAACTGGTTCTGTGTTTGCTGCTGTTTGGCCCACCCGCCTGCCCGAGCTCCTACCTGTCCTTTATTTCCTGCTTTTTCAACCTCAGCTGCTTTGCACGGGATGGCGAAGGTTGAAAAAGCAGGAAAAAAACAACTTTTCAAATACTGCGCACTTGCTTTTCAGCTGTCCGGGCAGCACAGCTTAAGTTTTTTTACACATGCCCATGTATGCAAAGCACGCATTCACACACAAACTTAGTCACTGAACTGGTAGTAACACCAGTTGAATCCCACCCCGATCTGGATACTTCAATTCAGAATATGGCAGCCATAATGTAAATTCATACTGCCCTCTGTTACATTTTGTTGTCGTTAATGGTGCCTCAGGTGGGGAATTAGAAAAAAATAAAAGGCATAACAGTTAAGGACCCATTTAAAACCTCACTGACATCCCAGTAAAAGATCATTACACCATCCTCATCTAGGTAGATCCTTAACTCTTCCATTAAGGGTGTCATCCTTTCAGATCAGCCTATCCAAAGCCCAGAAATAAAAATCTAACCAATTGTATGATGACCATGAAACTAAACAATGTTGCTAATGCAACTCTGCATTCCAATTATGAAACTTTGTTTTTCTACCTAGCCCCGGCTTCTCTTTTCAACCTACTTGAATAAGATCTGGTTTTCAGAACATGGTCAGAGTTCATTGCAGTTCAATTTTAGAAAGATAATTTGGATCCCAAGTTGATGAACAGGTTAAAGATACTGATGAGCAGGTTCTCCTTGCATTTTTTCCTTCCTTTAAATACTATCCTCCCAATTTTCAACCTTGAAGGGCGGCGTTGGTGGTGCTGGCTAAGCAAAAGCTAGTTTCTTTTAAAAAAGATATTGAGGGTTCAGCCTGCAACTCTGAGCTAATCTTCACATTTGAACTCACCTTTCAGAATAAGCCTTCATTAAGTAAGGCCATTGTTTTTATTTTTAAAAAAATGGTGAAATATTTATTTCAAAATAAAAGATTTTTTCTCTCTCTCTTCAGGACCTTTAACAAAGGGATCAGCTTGTGAGATAATTTGGATATATTTTGCCACTAAAAAAAGACATTTGTTGTAACAAACAAAATCAGTTTGTTGAAAATATCTAGCAACAGAGCTGAGGATTAGACAACTTGAAGATTACATTCAGGCTTGTTTTTGTGGTTTTGATTCTCCCATAATAAAAAAAGAAAATAGATGCATCAATTGTTCACTGGGCTTTCTGAAACATATCAATACCACATCTAGTTTGTGAAAGAGATAGAAGATGTTGATCCAACACTTTCTTTTATGGCCATGATAACCACAGTCCTCAATTTTTTTTTTTTTATAATAATGCAGCTTTAGACTCCAGAAAATTTTTCCATCCTTGCTGTAGCCAAGTGCCATAAAAGCCATGATTTAGGGAAGCAGCAATCCAACATACCTGGAAGGCACTAATTGGGGAGGGGTGGGGGGGAATAATTGAATTTTTATAGTCCACATGGTTAATGTTTGGTGGGGAGGGGAAGGGAATTAAATGGCTTTACATAAGGTAGCTAGTTCGATGATACCTGGATGATAGATAGCTAGACAGACAGACATAATCAGAGGGAGCCTTTTCTTGAAAGAACATTGAGAGACTGCTAGCTATACTTCACAGGTTGTCAATCTCTTTTTTCAGGCATGTTACAGATAGTTTGCTCAAAGGTGTGGATCCATCACAAGCTGCCCAATATAATGCAATGGAGAAGGCCACTGCAGCAGAAGTTCTGAAAAATCAAGAAGAAACCACCAACAGCCAACATTCACAGCAGAATGTTGCTGAATCCCCAGCGGAAGTGTCTGTTAAATCTGAAATGGTTCCCATCTCCACTGTGACAGTGCATCATGCACAAAGTTCTCCAGTGGTTACCCATCAGTCACAACATTCATTCACATTGGTCAGTCAAGTCCCAAATTCTCCTCTGACCAATAGCCCAGGGCCAGCTATAGCTACATCAAGTTCTCCAACCTACATGGAATCAACAACAATGACCACCATCAATACCCAGCAAATACAGGTGCCTCATTCACCCCCTGTTCCTGTGAACAACAACATGCAAAGTCTTTTTATTGAAGAACTTCACAATGCCAGTACAAGGAACAGAGCTCTCTCGATTGAGGTATTTTGTGCATTCCAAAGCAGAGAGCTGAAGTGTATTTACGTAATTCTGGGTTTGATCTTAAGGGACCAAATAATTATGATAATTATAAATTATTTCAAACCTGACACACTCAACATTTGGAATCTCTCTGCTAGAATATACAGTATCCATATGATATTTATTCATTTTTGTTTCAACTTTTCTGCAAGGTTTAAAAAATTGCAGTAAGTGGTTTGTTTTGGTGTGCAGCTTTCTTAGGTCTATGCATTTTGCATGTTTTTAAATATAACTTGCTATAGTAAAAACAGTTATGCATTGTTTTCATAATGGAATATATATATATTATATGAACGTCCATGAAGCCACCAAGAGTTAAGATCAACTGTAAAGAGATTTCATCTTTTTAGTCCATTTCTATACGAACAATTTTCCATATATATTTTATGTCCTTCTTTCCCATATATGTCACAATGCTTGAGCTTGTATGCATGTACCTTTTCCTAGTATATGATGTTTTGTGCAAAATATATAAGCCAAGAGCAATGGATATTAATCAATTTTGAACATGTGGCAAAGTCTTTATAGGGAAATGACATACAACTCTGCCTGAATTTGTTCTCTGTGATTCAAACACTAATGATGATTTCACCCATTAACCATTGGTTATCAGCAACCTATACCAGAGTCATACTTCACAAAGGTGACTTGCCTTTCTTGGGAAGCTGACATACAGATCTCTCTGATGCAACATTAAAGGGGTCTGATTGAACCATCTTTTTGAAGAATATCTACTGACAGATGCAGAGCATTTTACCCCATGGTCAGCATATGCAGAGATAACAGGAGTAATCAGAGCACCCTCCCTATTTGCTTCATGCAATGCAGAATTCAAAATATGACTGGGATTTACTGTCTTTCTTTATAGAAAGCAGAGAAAAAATGGGAAGAGAAAAGGCAGAATCTGGATCACTATGATGGGCAGGAATTTGAAAAACTACTAGAAGAAGCACAAGCAAACATTATGAAGTCTATCCCAAACCTTGATATGCCTTCACAAGTAACTGTTTCACCCAAAGCTGATGCAGCACAAGTACCTGGTAATTAAAGTTTATTTCCCCATTTGTAGGAAACACCTGTGACCCATTATCAGAAGGAAATGAATTAAAGTTGGAGTTCTCACCCTCAGTTTTAGAGTCTGAATTAGATGCAGTAGAAGAGAGAGAACAGGAAAGCAAGAAGCACAGGGACAAGGGTACACTAAAAGTTAATATAGTGGGAGTGACGATCTAATCAAAACTCTTCCTGTTTTTTACACATGATGAATCAGTATGGCCACTCTTCAGGTATCATGGATAAATCCTTAATGTTGTTCAGTTCTTATACCAGTCAGCTTTAATTCAGCTAAATGTTTGTTGATCTTGTCCACATTAACTAGAATGAAAATGCTACAATACAAATTTTTGCTCTTCCGTCTCAGTTAGTATTTTGCCAAAAACAATTAGCAAATTTCCTTTGTTTAGATTTCTATCTTGCCTGTCAGATGTAGAAAAAAAAAGATGCATACATAATTCTAAACTTGAAGCAAGAGTCTATCTTGCAAATAGACTGTATGAAACCACTTCATTGGAGATAATCTTTGATTTTTCAGAAGATAGTCCCAAAACAGAACAGGAGCTGGAAAAGGCAGTGAAGTCTCCACCTCCTCCACCTCCACGGCGAAGCTATGTGCTAGGATCTGGATTAAGCACAAGACTGAGTGAAGTCAGTTATACATCCAGAAAAGATAACACTATCTCCAAGGTTTGATTATGGAGGCACCTCAGATGTCCAAAACAGGAATCATCTTGGGACAAGATAGTATCTAGCTTATTTTTACATCACTTTGAATTAAGTACTGGGAGGAGGGGAGGTATGATCTAAAGAGGCAAGAAATTTAAAAATAAGATTTAAAACTAGATTTAATTTTTTTTATTTAATAGGTGTGGTTGCTAGCACTGTATAGGCAAGTGCCAACCCCACCATAATTATAATCAATAACCAGCAGGTAATTCCCAGCATGTGGGACTTAGTCTTTCTGCTGTCTTACCAATATACAATCTCACTCATGCCATCTCATTTCTGTGTATATTTAAGGAACTATTTGCACCTTGGAAAAACTCATCTTATACAAAGGGACAAAATGAATCAGAGCAGTTCCATGGTTTCAGCATATTCTCCTTTAACCATCTGTTAGTTTCAGACTAAAATAAGAAAATCAAAATACCTGAGAATATTTCAGTCAAATATAAGTAGTCCCAGACTTACAACTAGTTGCTTAGTGATGATTCAAAGTTATGTTGCAGAAAGATACTTATGTCCCAGTTCCAAAGTTTCGATGGTCTCACATATATTGCAATCATGTGATTGCATTTTGGGTGTTTGGTAACCGATTTGTAGCATCCTGCAATCACCTGATTGCAATTTACAACATTTTTGCCAAAAACTCCAGTCTTTGGCATATAATGGATCCCCTTTAATTGTAGCATTTGCTTCATGATTGCTGATTCACTTAACCATGGGGATTCACTTATTGACTATTGTAAAATTGGGTCAATCATGTGATGATACAGCTTTATAATCATCACGTGTATTATGTGATGATACAGTTTTATGATGATACAGCTTTATGTAGGCAGGCTACATTATGCTCATAAATCAAGGACTATATGTGTAAAATCCAAAAAGGCCAATATGGCATAGTAGTTAAGATTCTAGTCCTCATTATGCAGGAAAGCCATCTGGATGATTATGGCCAGCTGCTTCTTCTCAGCCTCCATATCAGCATCAGGCTATGGGATAAGTTGAGCGAAAAAACAAACTTATGCTGCATCATGCATTGACAGCTTTGCTTATGTAAAATAGGCAACCATGGTGCAAAAATGAGTGAAATCCAATAGGATGCAGGCTTAGAAAGGGCCCAACAATGTGCCTCCTCTCTAGATTTGATAATAGGGGATGCCCTGCCTTTAGGAGGATGGGGAAAAGTCCAGATTTCTCCCGAACACCAAATAAAAACATTGAAATAATTATGGGAGCAGTATATAAATCAGATGAATTATAACTTTCTCCTTTCTTGTCATCATGCAATTTAGGAAAGCAGTGAAGATTCTGTTCAAGCAGCATCATCCAAACTCTTCCCAGAAAAAAATGTCTCTCTTCAATCAGCCAGCACACCAATGAAAGAGGAAGAGGAAGAAGAAGGAGATAAAATAATGGCAGAACTACAGGTATGAGCTTATCAATTTGCCTAAAGTAGCATGTACTTTTTCTCAGGGAACCTACAAGGCAATGCAAGAGGATGCAGAAGTTTCCCTGCAATGAGGAGAAAGAATTTGAAACAACTATGGCTAGGATGTAAGCAATTCTTCCAGACAATCATGTACCCAGTTCCATGGTTCATATTTAAATATTGGTCATCAAACTAAGTGATAAGATTAAGATAAATTCTTTGCTGAAATGGACATTTGCTGAACTGTATACTGTAGTTTTTTTTAGTTTATTGCACTTTAAAGCCAGACAATCTTTACAGTTAGTTTTCCTTTTACAGTCAATAGAAGATAAATACTCATAATTAAACTAGTCTCTATCTTGGACCTCAGTACCATCAACCATCTTAACAAATAGATGATTGCAAAGTTCTTCAATAAGGCTTTGGTTGCCAATGTAGTAGTGCCTGTAGGCAGGAGTTGCCAACATTTTCTGGTACCATTATGCAATCTTGGACAATGATTATCCTACCCCAAATCATACGTTTTCAGCAGTTTCACATTAATATCCTATGTGCAAATACTATTATCATCTTAGATGGTGCATGAAGAATTCGAAGATTTGTAGGAGCACCAAAGTTCTTGCATACAATTGCCCAAATTTTGAGAGGGGTGCGGTAAGACTTGGGCAATTTTAATTTTTAGATTAAAAAACTGAATCTGGTTTAGATTAAATCAGTTTGGACATACAGGCAGTCTTTAGGAATATGATGCCACTATAGTGATTGTGAGGCACTATACTGACTCCCATCCTGCCGCCCCCCTCAAAAAAAAATCACCTTGTGTTAAAAAAAAGCTCTACTACATTGACAATGTTATTGTTACTTGTAAGTATTACTTCATGTTAAGGTAGGAGGTGAAGTCCAACTTTTCTAGAGGAGACTTTCACTATCTGATGTTTTCTGCATTCACTGAACTACAGCTTCCATTACTGTTTCACACTGGCTGCAAGGGAAAATGAATTTTCAGTCCAATCTATTTAGAGGATTCAAGATGAAGAAGAATGTTATAGAGCAATATTTCTCAACCTTAGCAGCTTTAAGATGCTTGACTTCAGTGTATCTGGGGAATTCTGGGAGTTGAAATCACATATCTTAAAGTTAAAGTCATTGATATAGAGAAATTATTTGTTTGGTTCTTTTATCAGTACTAATCAATTAAAGCAGAAGGCTGAGGCCTAGAAAATGGAACCATTTGTTGCCATTTTGCCCTCATTGATGCTAACTAGTGGAAACATAAAGGATTGGACCATAGAACAAATTAACAAAGCTAAGGAAATTTTAGTCTAAAGAGTTTTTCTTAACCCGGATATTATTATTTTTTAATCATGTAGTCCTTAAACTACTTTTGAAGGAGGAAAAAATGCCTGTAGTTTTAGAATCTTTTTAAAGACCAAAGATAAAAATAGCCCTTCTTTAGAAAGTGCCCCATAAAGCAACCATTCACAGTTAAATGGTGATGAAAAAGTAATTTTTCAATCAATTCTTGTATTTATGATCTTTTCAGCAAAGGAAAGCTGAAATACAATTGTAAGCACAGAGTTTTGCTTTGCTACTGCTTTGTTAATAAGCAAATTGACAGTCCCAATTGTTGTCACTAAACAAGGACTATCTGTGCAAGCTAAATTCCACCTTTTTCTTATATTACAAGGGAAAAGATTTTTCAGTGTTTATTTATCATATACAGATTATTAACCTGTTTAGCTTGACCTGATTGATGAGGCTGATTCTTGAGGCTCACATACAAAATTTATTAATCGATTCAGGAAAGTGTATACATGATTTCCCAACAAACGAAGACTTGGCTTAGGGTTGGAAAATGTTTATTAATAACCTGCCCTATTTTAATCCTCTAGGCCTTCCAGAAGTGTTCTTACATGGATATAAACTCAAACAATCATGCTGAACAGTCCAGAAATGATACACACAAAAAAGATGCGAGGTCTGTGGCCTTAATGCATCCTAAGGAGAAGAAGGTAACAGGGTCATTTGAACTCTACTTCAATCTCTTAGCCTTACCTTCTTCCCATCTTTCCAAACTAACCTTATATCAGGTTAACTCTGTGTGTCTTGATGGCTGTTTTCATTTATGTGGACCAAAAAGAATTAATAAACAGAATACATCTGTTAATAAACAGAGTCTAAAGGACTCTTTTTGAGAACAGGAAAGGATAATTAGGATCAAGATTCATTAATGTTCTTTCAGAATCAATTATGAATTACAATAGGGGAACATAAATTTTAAAAAAATTAAATGAAAGTTGTCTGTTTTAATGTCATGCTTTAGCAAAAATCCAGATTTACAAACATTTGTATATAATTCTGGTAGCAAGCCTCATTATGACAGAGAAAATTTCTCAAGAATTCTGTATAAAATTGCATAGCAAAAATTATGTTTTTGTTTCCTTGTCTCTTCATAATGAAAAAATCTACAGTTTGAATTTAATACATTTATTTATTAAATGCATTACACAATATTAAATCCTTTTCCAGGTCTTCCCTTTATAATTGCTTTTTTTTTAATCTGTAGCTCACATATTCATAAATAGTGGGGCAGAGAATAATATAAAAGCATTTACTAGACATTACTAGTAAATGTTTAACTTCACAACAATAACAAAATTCTGCATTGACTCTTTACAAATGTTGCATATTCAAAAGAATAGAATTTAAAAGAATGAAACAGCTAACACCTCAAACTGGAAGGCAAAATGCACAAATCTGAATAGAGGTGTCTTAAAGTTGACACTGAAATCATTTAAGGTTCAACCGAATGAGTAGTCATTGATCTTATAAGAACAGGTGCTTAATAACTGTGAGACAGTTTGAAGCAATGAAAAGACGTATCCAGTGAAAGATCCAACTCGAGTTAATTTCAATTCCTTTTTCCCATTGATAGAGTCACATTCTTACTTATAGAAAAGATTACCAGTGCAGACATATTCATGGGGCTCCTCAAACAAGGAAAAACTGCATTATTGAAAACCAGGTTTGATAAAGAATCTTCTTTGGCAGATGCTAAGAAATTGGGCTTTGAGGGATGCTGGGGAGATGTCACACAAAGAATGCCTGAGAATCTGTAACAGATAAATCACTTGTGTCCTAACCAACAGGGATGATTCTCATTGAGCAGAGGTCAAGAATGATGGCCCCTTTATGACATTATGCATGGCTGGCTCAGGAATTCTGGGAATTGAAGGCCGCAAGTCATAGAAGAGCCATCATTCCCCACCTCTGTCATGGAGGATAATCTTGTTGCTCAGGGTTGAATTATTGGATCTCCGATCGTCTCTGAACTTGCTTCTCTTCAGTAAACATGTCATGACAGGATGGGCAGCAGCATCAGTTACAGACAAACTACTCCACAGAAACGACCAGTAATAAACTACATTTCAGTATGAATTACCTACCTTGGTAATGAAATGTTAGTAGAAAGAAAAGTAAGTTCAGACAACAGAAATAATTCAACAGGAAAAATTCCGCTGCCTGAAAATTAATGTTTAATAGTAAAGTTGTCCAGTATTCATTTCTGGCCCTTGAAGTGCAGCTGTTGCTGTCCCCACCCTACCCCATCGCCCCGCCCTGGCAGAAAACCTACAGCTTTGGTGTTGTTGTTTTTCTTTTTTTCCCTTTTACTGCGGTTTAGTCTGCATGAGCTGAATGCTAACACACTATCTCTGCATGGTAATAGCAAACTTAAACTCCCTTTTATTTGCTGACAGTTCTCTTTCCATCTCTCTTTTCGGTAAAATCATCCTCTGCCCTAAAAAAACAAGTGACTTTATTTATACCTACAAGAGCTTTTAGAGTGCCAAGGTAGCAATTTACAGTATATTTAAATTTAATAATGGCTGTATATTTAACATTTCAACATCATAATTTGATATCAAATAACTGTGCTCTGTGTAGAATTATTTTAATTCAATCCAAATAGTTGCTGAATTAAATTTCTAATATGACAGGCCACATTATAGTCTACACTTGTCATCCCTTTCTTTTTTGGGTTATATTTTTATACCTGACATATCCAACAACTGAAAGAAGCTGTGCTTGGGAGGGTAGCAGGGAGAGCACTTGCCTATACAGTCTCCAAGAACTGAACATGACTAAATGATTTAAACTAAACTAATACAGGTAATCCTCGACTTATGGCCACAATTGAGTCCAGAGTTTATGTTGCTAAGTGATTTATTAACTGAGTTTTGCCCCATTTTACACCTATTTTTGCCATGTTTGTTAAATAAATCACTGCAGCTGTCAAATTAGGAACACGGTTGTTAAGTGAATCTAGCTTTCCCATTGACTTTGCTTGTCAAAAGTTCAGTGAGTGTGATCACATGACCCCGGGACACTGCAGCAGTCATAAATATGAAGCAGCTGGTAAGCATCCAAGTTTTGATCACGTGATCAAGGGGATGCGGCAGTGGTTGTAAGTGTAAAATTCACTTTTTCCAGTGACGACATAACTTTGAAGATGAACTGCTGTAATTCTCACCATTGTAGGCACCAGCATTGTCAGTCTGCAATATTTCAGTTGCAATATCTCAGAGCAAATCTAAGGTTCTGTAGGACTTGTTGAGAAAGGATGAATGAAGCCCTATTATGGACATTTATGGGTATTCTGAGGTTAAACGTCTGAGTATCTATCTATACAATACGTATCATGATGCTAATTCTATAAGAGAGGGAACTTTTTTGTAGCCAAGGTTTGCAGGGAGCTGAGCAGTCATGTGGTATGGTCACAAGGAGAGGTATATGGAGCCTGAGGTTGTTTTTCTTTCATTATGAGAGGGGACATTTAAGAGGTGCTCTATTAATAGGGTAATAAGTAACTTCTTTAGAGGTTATCTTTACCTCTAAATATCTTTTCCACTAAACTTTTTAAATTGTCCTGAGAATAGAAGCAGTAGAACATCAATGTGTCATATGTTGGTGTGTAATCAAGGGGACTTCAGAGAGGCTAAAGAAACAGAATGGAGGTCTCCTCTTCCTTTTTCAAATGAACAGTTTCTGAGATGCTTAATAGTTCTGGAGATTTTTCTGCTGAGATGCCAAATGGGTAGAATTTTGAAAACTCCAGAAGAAGAAAACTCACCTTGTTTTGTCATGGTTCATTTTAGGCAGTAGGCCAAGCATAGCCTATTTAGAAGTGTCTATGAACTATGAACCAATTGTCAAGCATTTGAATGTAAATCATGTGACCATGAGGATGCTACAATGGTCATAAGTGTGAAAAATGATCATAAGTCATTCTTTTCGGTACTGTTGTAACTTTGAACAAACTGTTGTAAGTCGAGGGTTACCTATATTTTTATACCACTGTATTTTGTAAAGAATTTTGGTTTGCTGGGTTGGTCTTCTGAATTGATCTCAAATTTTCACACCCTCTGTTAACCATAGAGGGCTCCTGAAAGATTAGCAAAACTAAGAGCAGTATCCCACTGCATTTTCACTCCCTTCATTCAGTGTGGCAGTCTTTAAAAGTGAAGTTTGATACAATTCTTCTTAATATTTGAATGATTGATGAAATAGGAATCATTTGTCCTCTGCAGAATTTGTAGTTACTGTGGGAGTACTTTTGCCAATAGCAAAAGCTACAATTTAAGTATGCAAGGATTAGAAGGCTAAGATAGGTTGTCTTGCTATCCAACTGGAAGGTTATGTTGGACAAATAGATTAATCCAGTTTCACCTAGCATCACAGAGTTTCATCTATATGGCAGGATCTGTTTCTCTTTCTTGATAGCTCCTCCCTCAACCTTATCTTGAATTTAATTGTAGGTTAATTTATCAGGAAGGTTGGAGTAAAATTTGCTCTGCCATTTTTTGTATATCCTTTTCTGTCAAATAAGCCTAGGACTTAAGAGTTTACTCTCTTAAAATTTATGTTTCATCACAGAAGTTGAGAAAACAACATTTAAAAATTAAAGCTTGGAGGAAAAACAATTCCCGTAAAAAAAAATTGGACATATTCTAATATAGTGGTATAACTATTTTTTTAAGCTAGAAGAACAGTTACGTATTAGAACATTTGGAGTGAAATCATTGATTCTCTCGTGACTTAGTTGGGGGCAAAGTATTTCATAATATGGAGAGCCTTTAAAGGACCAGCTCCATCTAGCATTCACATTGTCTGCAAAATATTTGTACTTATGTCATATGTTGTTCACAATTTGAAGTTATCCTATGAAGAGATACTGAAATCAACTGAAGACATTGGAAATGGCTGTGTATTGATGTAAAGAGGGGCATACATATATTATCTGATGATAATACTAGCTGATTGGGATAACATCAGATAAAATCTCCATAAGAGGGGACTAAATGTCAAATAATAGTCCTGAACTAAAACAAAAGCAAAAACCTAAGTAATGCAACTCTTCCCCCCCTAGGTTGATGGGGAGGCCACAAAAGATAGTGACCATCCCAAGGACAAGACTGAAGGGAGAACAGAAGTCATGATCTCAGGTGCTTTCAGCATCACTGAAAACTCTGCCTTTAGGCCAGAGTTGCTTTTGGAAAACAAGGATTATGCCAACAAAAATTCTTTTAAACCAAACACAAACCTCTCTAGTAGTATGTTAGAAAATGAAGGAAAGAGATGTCCTGAAGAAATACAAGTTTTAGAAGCAGAAAATGGAAGACAAAAACCAAGTTATGTTGTGGTAAGAGAGACTGATACATCCCCAAAAGACCTTCTGGAAGATGCAAAGGTACCTCTTGTTGGACAGACAGATGCATGCACCCAAGAAATGTCTTTAGTTTCTCCATCAACACAAGAACAGGGAAGGTCAGTTAGTGCCTGTAATCAAGTCGCACTAAGGCACAGAGCATCTAAGAACATCAACTTAAATGATATTGATGAAGTAGAATCACCAGCTAGTATTCCAAATGAGGAGAATTCACAATCAGAGAATGTTGGCTTCATGATTACTAGAACAGCTGTTCAGTTTCTATCAGGTGGAGAGGTTCATGACATAGTGAACAGGAAGGGAAATGCTGTACAGACTGTGAACATTGATTCCAAAAAAGAAACACCATCTCAACAAAGCATGCTTGAAACTTTTAAAGGTGAAGAACCAGTGGTTTGCTTGGACAAAAAACCAGTCATCATTATTTTTGATGAACCAATGGATATCAGATCAGCTTACAAAAGACTTTCAACAATATTTGAGGAATGTGATGAAGAGTTGGAAAAAATGATGACTGAAGAAAAAATAGAGGAAGAAAATGAAGAATTTGATACAACTGATGATACTCACTATGAAGAAGCCACCGAGACAAATAGGATACAGGTTACTGAGAAATCCATACAACAAACTTCCTCTAACTCAGCACCCCAAGTTCTACAGTCTGAAGGACAGGAGATGGACAAAAAGGAGCATCAGAAATCCAGTTATATTTATGGATTGGAACCAAAGTTGGATGTTCCTGATGCTAAGAAGAAATTTAAGTTTAAGTTTCCTAAAAAGCAATTAGCCGCTCTCACTCAGGCAATTCGCACAGGAACTAAAACAGGCAAGAAAACATTACAAGTTGTTGTCTATGAAGAGGAGGAGGAAGATGGCACCGTAAAACAACATAAAGAAGCAAAAAGATTTGAAATACCTAGTTCTCAATCTGTTAGCACTTTTGAAAAATCAGAATCAAAGGCAGTTGTCCAGGCATCTAGAACTGAAGAAATCAGGAAGAATACATACAGAACTCTAGACAGCCTGGAACAAACTATCAAACAGCTAGAGAGCACCATTAGTGAGATGAGTCCAAAGTCATTTTCTGAAACCACAGGCCAGGCAGAGAAACCGCCTGGCCCAGGCTTTTTCTCACCCAAAGAATCCACAGTGGTGGAAGAAAGCAATGCTGATGTTGAATCGCTTCCTTCAATACGATCATCTTCACGAAAGGTACTTTAGTATGAAAAATCACAACTCCAGCTGCTTTCTAAAAATCTGCAGTAGTAATCAACAATAAGCAAGAGGTGTCTTCTGATTGGTTTGCTTCTTTTCCGGTGGCTTGTTGGTGCATCCAATTTAGTACTTAACAGCTAATATTGTGTGTTTTCAATTTTTTAAAAATGCTGATTTTTGTTTGATTTTGGTGGTGGGCATAAGATGCTTAGTTGATATTCTGTTGTGGGTTGCAGCAGTTAAATTATGATTGGTTAGCACTTAAACTTTTATTCCATTTTTTTTATTCTTGAAATTAACACCAGTGCTTTGACTTTGACTTTGATGTGGTTTACTCTGGTGCTTTCCATGCATGTTGAGCTTTAGCTTCTCACCTAAAGCAGCTTTCCCCCATGTGCTGTGATCGTTCTCATCTACAGTGAGCCCCGCTGACCTGTCTCCCTTTGTCTCTTTCCTATCCTTATACCTGCTTTCCTCACAGAATTCAACCAACACTTCACAAACAAGCAGGATGCCAATCCCTGCAGCCACAAAAAGTAGGCAAGGAGGTGTGGACAAGACCATTAAACAACACAAGCTACAGGACCAACGCCAGTACAGACAGGTAGTTTTACCCTAAACCAAATCTTGGGATGAAGTCAGTACTGAGATGAATGCTTTGCATAAATGTTTAAGTCCAGTTGCCAGTTTTGGATGCTACCAAATCATGAACTGTCTTCCCAGTGAAGATCCTGAATTGGAATCCAGGGCTTGAGGGTGTGGGGAATGAAAGTATCTTAACAGTTGCATTATTCTGATATCAGCTTGTGCATGTCGTGGCAAACATCTCCTGCTTTTGAAGTTTTGTTCCAGTACTCAGCTGTAATACTTTTTGAGGTCAGCAATAGGAATCGATAAGTCTGAAGCATTTCTGATTAAAGTGTTTATATACTAACTCCCTATTTAACAGATTTCAGTCAGCACCTCTTAACCACCCACCGGAGTGTTTCCATCTTCACCTTAACAATTCTGACGCATGTTTCATCAACCCCAATATTTGGGGTCACTTTTCTACATATCCTTTTCTTTGAACTTCCTCTTGCTCTGTGCATTTTCTGCTGTGCAGCTTAAAGGGATAGGAAAAATGGGGAAAGCTCCAGCCCATAAATGCAAGACTTAGGACAGGTTTGAACAAGTCATTCTTATTCTTCTCGAGCCTAATTTCCTACATATTCCCATGCTTTGTGATGTATGCTGACTTAAACTGTCTCCCACCATCTTTATTTACAGGCTAATGGAAGTGCTAAGAAAGCTGGTGGGGACTATAAAGCTATTTCCCCAATTCTATCTGCCTCAAAAATTCCAGCCTTTTCTTCCACTTCTGGAAAAAGTAGTTCTATGTCTAGTGGTGATAGCACTAACCTTCCAAGCCTATCCACTAAAGCCTCCGTTCCTTCTAATTCTCTCAGTCCTCCAACAGGTCGTCCTACTCATTCTTCTTCCTTAATCCCTTCAGTTGCTAATGGCTCCTTAAAATTCCAGAATCCTACTCACACAGGTAAAGGCCACAGTCACCTTTTACTCTCCACACAGACTCAAAATGGCCGCCCAACCGCTCTTCCTCCCTCTTCCTTTTCCTCCGCTTCCTCCTCCTCCTCCTCCTCCTCCTCCTCACCCTCTTCCATCTCTACCACATTACCAAACCAAAGTATGAAGAACATTCGGTCAATCCACACACCCAGCTTTACCAGCTACAAGTCCCAGAATGGAAGTGTCAGCAAAGCCACTGCATCTTCCACCATCACCAAAGAGCCATCTTAAAAGTGATACCTGGGCCTGTACGGTTCACCAAGCCTTCCTAACATGCTGATGATGTTGCAACCAGTCTTACAGCTGAAGATTGTTACCCATCCTGTTGTATCATTTCAGGCTGAATGCTACATTTGTGCTAAACACTAGGGTTAACATCGTGAATTAGTGATAAATGTAGTTTTTAAGCATTCATTACTGGTTAAACAGCCAAGGGAATTATATATGAAGCACAGATTGTCTTTTAAATAGAAACTGTTATAAGATTTGAAAGGACGTGAGTGGACTGGAAATGTGTGCACAAAAATGTATTGAGCATGAAAAACTGTATTTAAGAAGCCTGTGGTTTTTGTATAAAGCTATTTTTAAGTACAAGAATTAAAGCATCAGGATAATAAGAAGACTGTAAAACTGAAACTAAAATATTTTTCTTTTATTTTGGAGTTATTCAAATTTGTTATAGATTTCTATTTTTGTCAACAAAGAAAACCATCGTGGTTACTTTAAAATTTCTTTTGTCAAAACATTTGATACAATTATAATGTACATTTGATAGTAGAATGACAAACATAAAAGCTAAGACAAACACTGATGGGGCAAATTTATGGCACTGCCAATCAGATTATATTTAATAATTTGCCATGCATTTTTGGGTGGGGGGGGGGTTGTTTATTTGCTTATTCATTTTAGCTAAGCTTTGGCTTCCTTTTTGTTTTTTCCATGTTAATTAGACTTAGATAAACTATGTAGTATTATAGTGTGGATTTTTGAAGTGTAACTTCTGTCCTGCTCTGTATAATGGAAAGTCTTTGTACATATTATAATATAAAGATTATAAATATAAATATATGAATCTAAACAATGCATGTGGCTGGGAACATTGACTACTTTTCAACACCAAAGGTCCATTATGCATATTAAATTTTGGAAAATGTTAAATGGGGAAAAAATTGAGGAGGATTTTAGAAATCATCTGCAAAATCAGAGTGCGCTTTTGTGATATCTTGTTTATACAACAATACGTTGTTTATACAATATACACAAGTAAAAGGAAAACCCTTTGCAAAAATAAAAGGGTCCATGCTTACAGTTTGGTATCACTTTGTCACTAATAGTAACTTCTTAATCTTGTTTTTTTAGTGTCTGTGGACATGATCTGGGAGGAAATACCCTGAAATCCCATTGATTTCAGTAGAAATGTGCATGCATGTGCTTACATTCATTTTGCAAATATTAACTTTCATGGCTCAGTGTTTATTTTACAGCTGTTTCTTATAAAAGAAAGACACTAATGTACTCAGCAAAATGATGGCTTTGCTGTTTATCAATTTGTTACAGAACATTCATGTACAAAGGACATAGAAATAGATGATGAAGACAGATGATATAAAGATAGATGGATGGATAAGATAATAGAGATAGATAGATAGATAGATAGATAGATAGATAGATAGATAGATAGATAGATAGATAGATAGATAGATAGATGATAGATAGATGTATTCAAAGCGAATATTTCTATCAAAGTCTTTCACAAGTGTTTGATGCAGGATAGTGACTAAACTTAAAATCAACAGGTTAAATCTCATATCAATAATAAACTGTGAAGGAAACTACAGTGTCCGGGTTTTTGCCTTTTTCTTAGTTGTTTTGGGCATAATCTTTGGTGCTGTATTGAATATCCATATTGGCAAAATGTTTTTCAATCATATAATTAAATATATCAAGATAGTATAGTTAATAAGCAGGGTTCCCTTTTCAAATATGGCTTTTAGAGATTTATCTAGACACATCCCTACACTGCTATATTTTTCATTCCTAAAGCTCTCAAAAACAATTTAAATCAGACATCTTCACAACCTCACAGCCAATTAGTGTTTCTTTCAATTCAGTAAGGGAGTGTAAGTTGCTATACCTTTTGCAGAGCTTTAATGTTAAAAATGAAAAGAGCTCCTATGAGTAATTATGGGTACAGGACACAGAGGCTGAAATAAATCTGCTTAGTTGTTGAATAATGACAGGCACTTGACATTAGAGAGAGGTGGCACTATTTCTGAGGTAGTGCAAAAACTCATGCTACTATTACATTTGTGTTGAGAGCACCAAAGTACTCCTGGGTTTAAAGGATTGAATAGTGTTATCACTGTTGCCGGGGGGATGTCCAGTTGGGGGCTTCTTTCATGTCCCTATTAAGTTGCCCTTTAAAGTAGTACCTATCTACACTTTCAAACTGTTGGGTTGGTAGGAAGTAGAGTGTGTAATGGGAGCTCACCCCATCCCTCAGTAGCAACCAGCTCAAATGCAAACATGCCAATCATCAGACCAACATCCTAACCTTGTGAGTCATGCAGTCTTAAGATTCTTATTGAAGCACACTTACATGCCCATGGGAGCTTGATTGGTTCTTTAGTATGATAGGAGTTTCCTTCATTTCATATCAATATGTCAAAGACTTGTCTCAGGATTGATGTATTGAAAACTTCCATACTAAGATCTATAATAGACTCTATTAACATTTAAAATGGAAAGTTTACAATGAGAGGAGGGTATATGGAGATGTCAATAGAAGTGGGTGAAATACACTACAGGATCCATGACTTTCAAAAAAAATTCAGAATCTTCAGAGAACTCTAGGATTTTAAGTATTTCATTTTAAGATCACTGTATATATGTTACATTTTTCCTAGAGAAGTGACTTTATATGAATAACAGATCAGCAAATGTTTTATTTGCAAAATATGCTTATCCATGATTAACTAAACCATGGTTTAATCCAATTTCCTAGGTTCATATAATACAAACAGCCATAAAATAACTCCAGGCTATATTCTAAACTGAAATTTGGTTAGTTTTCAGCCATAAAATAACCACATAACATTCTAAACTGACATTTGGTTAGTTTTCCTCCCCCTCTCATGTGCTGAAGCGAGTTATTTTTACTTTCATTAATACTCTTAGAAGTTGTCCTTTATCATGGCTGTTAGCATAAAGAATTAACATAATCAACATCCCTTACATGAACAAAGTCTCTCCTTGATTATTGACTTTCTCTCAAAATCACACATTAACACTGTTTTCTGTCTCTGGGCTCTTGGGATCCAATCTGAGGATAAAGGATATTACAGTTTTTTTCCTGATTTGGAATCCCTTGATCACCTCATGTGTGGATTATTGCAATTGGCTTTATATGGCACTGTGCTTTATAATGGTCAGATCACTAAGTGCACTTCTGTTTTCTGCTCTGTCTCCCTCTGCAGACAAGTTGGGTCTTTTAGCTCAAGGAATAAGCAGCCTAACTTAGGGTTTGGGGGGAGGGGGAGATGTGATAGACAGTTTGACTGAGGCCTCAATTTCTACCTACAACAGGTACATGTCAAGGGCTCTGATTGGCTTGCTTCTATGGGATCTCTCTCCACTTGTTAATCTTGTGGGTTTCATAGTTTTTCCAAGAAGATATGGAGAATGGATAACAGAAAACATAACCAGACTGGAAGAAGAAAGAGACTGAATCCTTGCATAAAAGAGCCCATCATAGACATTATATTATGGTGATATATTGGAAGCTACCCAATGGTTTTGTTTTAAGACCTGCTATGTGTTGGGGAGGGAAAAATCACACAAATCCTTTTAAGGACACTGAGAAACATTCAAGGATTCATCATATAAACCTGCTTAGACCTATTCAAAGTTGAATTCCAGCTGGATGAACTCATGCAAGTCGATGAGATGCCATTTTGTTCTGTTATCCAGGAAGAATTTACTATTAACTCCTGGAGAAATGGACAGGATCTTTGGGATGGTAACCTAACCATTTTTCCTTTTCTGTTTGCTCCCCCAGTTAATTAGCACTGCCTGGCAGATGACATATGATTGGATCATGCAATAGTTTACACCTTTGATAGAGGAAGGAAACAGTTAGTGATAGGACCCCTCTCAAAGAAACATGGCTATGAATAATGTTCATCTAGTTTCCAAGCTTCTCATCTTAGAGAAAACTGCTAAGATGGTGACTAGCTTGCATCTCCAGAGGGCGCTGGAGGAAATAGATCTTTCAAAGGCAGGTGTTAAGCTGGGACACAGAGTGGAGATGGCACTGATTATACAGATAGTCCTCACTTAACAATCATTCATTCACAACTGAAGATACAACAGAGCTTAACAAATGGTACTTCTATCTGGTCCTCAAAGTTACAACTGTTGTAGTACCCCTCTAGTCACATACTGAGCGTTGGCAGAGCACCTGCACTCTGCCAGTGTAGGCACTCTGCCAACACAAGAAGTGCTTCAACTCCCCCCACCTATCTCCCCTTCCCACCTCTGCTCTTTTGGCCACCTGCACTCTGCAACCCCACTGTCCTGCAATCTGTTTGTCTGAGGTATTAAAATGCGGCTCTAAATATGCACCTTGATACCTCTCCAGTTGTCACTCTATCCATTATTTCTAGATTTGGTATATAATCCACAGGACACTTGCAACAGGATTTGCATTGCATTTCCAAGAGCTTTGGTAATCTTTATGGATAACAAGGAAGCATTTTGATTGGATTGATCTCTGGGATGTCCAAGAACAGCTGGCAGGCCATGCTATTTGACTCCTCCATGCCAATTGTTTGACAAAGGGTCCACATTTGAAAGGCCTAATGATTACAGGAATATTATTGGTCCACTAAATAAAATTAACCTACCATTCACACCTTCTAACTTACTTTGCTTTATTTTTGGGTGTAGCCTACAACTTTATAACTGTAGACTGTTAGCTATTCCAAAATTAGCTGAGTTTGACTAAATGGTCAAAATCTTCCAGAATCTGCTGCTGGATCCTTGTAGACATGACAGGTCAAAGAATACCTCTTACCAAAGACAAAATTCTCTCTGAAGTTTTCCCACTGGAGATCTATTTGGAGCCAAGAATATTGTTGCAAGTATGATCAAGATTTTTGGTTTGCAGCATACCACTTCCTTTTTGATTTATTAAAAACACTTAAAAAAAGATAGAGCGGGAATGTTGGTTGATAATAAAAAAAGATACTAGGAAACATTCCAGCAGTTTCAGGAATAATGTTGTCTACTCAAACTTACAAGAATTTTTACACTTCTGAAACATAAAAAATTGTCTCCATCGCCACTTAAAAAGAATATTTTATTATTTCTTTTGAATGACAGGCTATTAGAAAATGATAAAAAAAACAACTGTAAATCTTACAAAAAATTATTAGTAAATTAAAGACACTTGTATTTCCTTTTTGTAGGGCATTTCAAGTTCTGTTTATGTCAATAGGTAGCGCCAGGATATATTAATTGAGGATAACTTTTTGATTGAGGCTCAGGTATATAAAGAGGATTATTACTTTAGATTTCATTGCCTTTCAGGCAGGCATCCTGAGAATATATCTATGCCCAGAAAATTTAAAAAATAAAAATCACTATAAGTGGAAAACAGTCTCCTTTCAGGACACGAATACAGTAAAGCTAATTTTTTTGACAGACATGAATATATATAAAAACGTGTGGTAAGTATTCTCTACTAAGTGTTACTGTGCAGTGAAAATGAAGTGTCTTTTTTCTATCATTGTTTCCCATGAATGGAAATAGGAAAGGTAAAAATGGGATATCTCTAAAAATAAATGAGTTCTATATGTTTGTATGTGTCTTTGAGTATCAAATTCTAATTAGTGGTTTTAAAAAATGAGAAATTTGTGAGTATTAACTATTTTTCCCCATGATGTTTTAAAATCTCTTCTTGATATTTTGATGTCATGAGGCTAGGTGCCTCTAAATACTGACAGATTAAATAAGGAAAGTGCTTACCCTCAAAAATTTGTAGTTTGTTGTCACCTAAAGACAGCAAGAAATCTCTGCCTTTAATGTACTGGTTTATTCAAAAGGCATAGCTTCTGTATCTAACATGACTAGATATTGGCAAGGTCTTTGTTACTAGCCAATGCCTACCCTCCCCCCGAGAAAATTTACATGTTACTTATATAAATCATATACTCTTCACAGTAATGTCATTTCTTAACTAAAAGATAACTTTAACACACGTTGATGTTTTCAAGTACTCCTTCATGTGAAACAATGTCTTAAGGTATTTTTCCCTTATACTGTATGTTTCATAATTTTCACCTTACCTTACATTTTAAAAATATGATTCTTAAAATATTTATTAAAAATCTGTATTTTTTCTTTTGTGTTATATTATGCGTGTAACTATCAACCATAATGTATTTGCAAGGTTTCTCCAGAAGATTGCAAACCCTATTGTATTTTATACTTTACAATGACTTTCTTTAATAGTAATAAAAAGTTTAACAACTGACAATGCAGGAATTTTTTTTCTGGTGCTTTTAAAACAAATAAACATAGGTTATGTGTTGCACTCTATTACAGCATTTACTACTCAAACCATAACATGCTCCATTCAGAGAAATCAATATGTTTTGCCTTAGTATAGCATTAGACAGGTTGTCCAAGCCTAAATGAACTGTACTGAATTAGATTGGAGTACATGGACAATGTTTTTTTTTTAAAAAAGTGACATATTACCATTGCTCTATCTCTAAAATTTCATTTTCTGTGGTAATTTAATGTTCCTTACTGTTTTGAAGGATGTCTTCATCTTGTCACATAACACTGAGTTTAAAACATCCTCAGTGTGGGGAACAATAAATGCAAAACTTTATCATTATTTTTATTCATTTATTTATAATCCCACCTTTATTGTTTTTACAAATAACTCAAGGAGCTGAATATGTCCAACCCATCTTCATTGTCCTCTTTTCTCTATAACAACAGTCATTGTGTGAAGTGATTTGGGCTGAGAGACTGGCCCAGATGCCCAGCTGGCTTTCTTGGCTAAGGTGGTACTTGAACTCACAGTCTACTGCTTCCTAGTGAGTCCTTCCTTTTCATTAGGTGTCCAAAATATCTGAGTTTCATCTTCAGGATCTGGCCTAATGCTTTAACCATTAGATCAAATTAAATTGCTGTACAAATAATGTCAGAAGAAATTTATTTCTAGCCAGAAAAATAGAAATGCTAATAACTTTACTAGTCACTCTTTCAAACTCAGCAAAGAATATAAGAAAAACTTAAGACAGAATCTAAATATTTGTTTCTATTAACACTATTGGCTGTAAGTCACTGGTCTTCTTTTAAAGCACAACCCTTGCATTCATCTTCAAAATTATCTAAACGCAGAGGCAAAAAATGAACATGCAAAAATATGCAAATGTATGCAAAATATGTATATGTGTGCAAAAAATTGGGAAAGGTATGCCAAAAGAATGATAAAGCTGATGTATTCTTGCCATTAGGGGATACATAGATTAAGCAGTTAATATTAACACAACTTGAATTACAAGAATGAGGGTAAAGTTAATTTAAAATAATTTAAAACAGAACATTTAAAACAGGACAGAACTATGACGCTGGAGAAGACTCCAGCAGGTCCCTTGGACTGCAAGCCAATCAAACTGGTCAGTCCTAGAGAAGATCAACCCTGACTGCTTTTTAAAAGGCCAGATCCTGAAGATGAAACTCAGATATTTTGGACACCTAATGAAAAGGAAGGACTCACTGGAGAAGAGCCTAATTGTGGGAACGATTGAGGGCAAAAGAAGAAGGGGGTGATAGAGAATGAGGTGGCTGGATGGAGTCACTGAAGCAGTCAGCGTGAACTTAAATGGACTCCAGGCGATGGTAGGGGACAGGAAGGCCTGGAAGAAGGTTGTCCATGAGGTCATGATGGGTCGGACACGACTTTGCAACTAACAACAACATTTTTTCTTTCGAAGCAGAGGATAGGCTTGCTGATAAAAGCTGAAAAGCAAAGCTTTCTTGGGGGGCAGCACAGGGTTTGTCCAGTCCAAGTGCTGAGCAATGACTTCCCTCCTGCCTGTTTAGTATTTGATCAGCTCAATAGACAAGGCCAGGCAAAGAGGGGAGCTGTTCTCTTGGTTTCCAGTGTTCCCCTGCCCGTCCATGCGCTCCTGTTTCAGCATTCGGTGCCAAAAAGGTTTGCCAACACTGCCCTATACTCACCCAGTTGTTTACTTTAAATCTTATCTAGCCTAGAAGATGGAAATTGGGAAAGTGTTGGTTACATGCTGCCACCTAGTGGTTATGGTTTTAGACTACAATTTTGTTTTTGCTTTTTCCAATAAAAAGTTTGGTACTATATTATTGTTTGATTATTCTCTGATAACTGCAAAATTATAATTCTGTGTTATTCTCAGTTGTCAGTTGTCTTTCCCAAATTGCTTCTTTTTTTGTTGTCATTTCATTAAAGACATGGCCTAGTTTAAAATACACATTTTTTTTCTTGGTCAGAACAATTATCTTTGAAAATGTTTATCAGCCATTGATAAGTATCCATATATTAAATGATTGAATGGACTTAGTTCTACAAACATAGCAGGGCTTAAAAATGGAATGGAATAAAGACTTTATTGTAACTTTAAATATACACTAATGAACATACAGTAAAATGATATTTCACTGCATTCAGCTCAAAAATAACCATTATGCATATATTCACAAACACACACATATATGACACAGAGAAACATCACAGTCTAGTTTGAATGTATACGTGCACATGTGAAGAAAAAAGAATCCTGCGAGTTTACAAAGATGGATGGCATAAGGAACAAAGCTGTTACACAATCTGTTAGCCCTGTTATAAATACTTTAAAACCTTCTCCCAGAAGGGAGCAACAGAAACAGACCATAAGGTGGATGTTTGAGGTCTCTAACAATGCCTTGAGCTCTAAGCACATAGTGTTTATAAGCAATATCCTGAATAACAGGAAGCAAGCTTCCTATAATCTTTTCAGATGTCCTTACCACTTGCTGTATGGAGCGTCTAATTGAGGCATTGCTGCCACCAACCAAACAGTGATGCAGTTTGTTAAAGTGCTCTCAATTGTGCCTCTGTAAGAACTAGCCAAGACAGAAGGAGAAAAATGTGCTCTCCTCATCTGATGCAGGAAATGCAAATGCTGGTTTGCATGTTTCACTAAAAACATATGAAGAGACCAAGTCAGATTGTTAGTTATCTTCATCCCCAGATACTTAATATAATTGACCATCTCTACAGCTGCAACTAACAGAAGAGGGAGGCTCCTGGGGGTATTCTGACATGGGAATGAAGTCTACCCCGATGACCACTTTGAAGTGGGTAAGCCATGTGCTACTGTGCACTGCATTGTTGTGAGCCACTTCAGCAAAGGGGAGCAGGTGGAGCCCAATTGGCCCACCATTGCATTAGTCCACTCTACCACCCCATTGGTACTCAGATGGAAAGCTGAACTAAGCCCCTGGGGGGACCAAATTGACTTTATGAACTCTCTCCAGAACTTGTGAATTGAACCCCCACCCCCAATCCGAAATAATTCTCCTTGGCACTCTGTGCGACTGATAGATATACCTCGGGAACAATTTCACCAACTTGTGGGTGGATGGTAGTCTGGGACAGGCAATAAAATGAACCTACTTGGAAAACAGGTCGATCACTGTCCAGATCACGGTATTCCTGCACTCTCTGGCAGCTCCACTATGAAACCCA